CTGAACAAATCCTCCTTTATCAGATACCAACAGTAAGATAAGCATCCTGGTGAGAGTTTTTCCTTGCTTAATAACTACACAGTAGAAGGACTCACCCCACAAAAGCTAAAATTGGGGAAAAAAACTTAAGCTGTATACTGCCTTAAATATTAAACAGACATTAAGAGAAACAGTCATTTTAGCAAGTAAATAGCACTTAAGTACCATAAAGCACTTCATGTGATCTCCACTTCAAAACACATCAAATAACATATGTCTTGGCAATTTTGAGAGAAAAAGCTTCTCCATAATGCATGCTGGAAAAATGCTATTGAGGAACACATGCAGTAAACTTACCAGTAGTTTGTTCCTAACTACTGCACCAAGGGAACTTCTTCAGTACCTACTCCATCAAAAGGACATTTAGCAGGAAGATGCTAGTAAAGCTAATGATTAAGATAATTAACCCAGCTACCAGGGTTTGAACACTGGCTTCTCCCCTTGCATGTTTAAACCAACACATGGTAAAGTCAATGAAAGTTAACTGAAATTATTACTACAGTTGAGAAAAAGAAGTCCTTGAACTAAAAGTGGAAAAATGTTAAAATATTTTAAGGAAAAGTGTATATTTAAGTAAGAACCACTTTTAAGTAATTCAAAATATTTTGGATGCATCAGCACTACTTTTTCATCCTAAGCCACGTATATCTTTAAATTTATTGCCTATATTCTTTTCATTCTTTCTGATCATATTATGATTAATATGGAGTTACCTAAAATTTAAAGATTCAAATTGGTTTAATTATTTTAAGTATCCAGTTTGGAATCCACCAAGTTTCTTGGTGTTAGTTTTCTTCCTATGGGCCTGTTCTGCTCATTTGCTTCTTATTAGTGTTACCTCCACCAGAGGGCAGACAAAAGGTGAAGATGTGATTTTTTTTTTTTTTTTTTTGGTACGGGGATCGAACTCAGGTCCTTGCACTTGTGCAGCAGGCAGTGAAACCGCTGAGCTAAATCCCCAGCCCCAGGATGTGAAATGCTTTACATTGGTCATTTACTGGCTTCCACAGAAGCTTCGGCAGCATCACCCGAAGACTTTAAATAGCACTAATGCTGTAGGAGTCTCTGGAAACTGTCTTGTCCGATTGAAATGGCTTTAGTTAAAATACAGCAAAAGAGCTGGCAAATATTAATGAATTCAACCATTCATTCAACAAACACCTACGCACCAAACACATGCCAGGCACATTCTAGGTTCTAGAGATTCAGTAGTTAACAAAACAAGCCAGTTTTCACTGTTGTGGCACTTTATTCTTTTTATCATTATCTGTTTAGGAGATACACAGTAAAGCACATAAATTATGATTTTAAGTACTAAACGGTATCTAGGAAGGCTATTTTTAAACAATACAGGTAAAGTTGAATGAAGTGAGGAAATGAGCCATGCCTTAATAGGAGAAAAGCATTCCAAGCAGAAAAAACAGTAAATGCAAATGTCTTGAGGCAGAAACGAACTTGGCAGACTGGATCAATAACAAAAAGTGGTACGGCTGAAGATGACTGAGCAAGGCAGAAAGAGCCAAAAGATAAGATTAGGGAGGTGGGTAGGAGTCCAACTGGCAATCATACAGGCCTCTCGTAGACTTGTGGATTCTCAATTTCATCAAAGTCAGATTTTCCCAGGTTTGGCTACTGGGGTCTCCTTCAATCCAGTTCCTATATTCTTCTGACATGTCCTCATCACTTTTTAAAAGAAAATTTTCTTACTCTGTGGCACAAAATGTTCAAGACTCATCTTGTACATTCCCTGCTCTAGCTCTAAAATCAGGCATTTAGGTATGGGCACTAGTTGTGTTTACTGCTACTCTGGAATCACTGCTCCTCAGCTCTTTCATCAGACAAGAGTTAGGAAATATATGGATGTATGGATGGATGCATGCGAGTATGTTTACACACATATTTTAAATAAATACTGATGCAGCTAATCTCAATCCAACACAAGAGTTTGTTGCCTTCTTCCACTCAGTTTTCATTTCTATTCTCCCACAGTGAAACCCCTATCCCAGCTGGGTGTGGTGGCACACACCTGTGATCCCAGCAATTTGGGAAGCTGAGGCAGGAGGACTGCTATGAGTTTGAGGCCAGCCTGGGCAACACAGTAAGTTCAAGACCAGCCTTAACTACATGGCAAGACCTTGTCTCAAAAATAAAAAAAGATAAAAACAAAAAAACCTGTCCCAGAGTGTCAAGTATTCACATGCTCAATTCTATAACATACACGAAATAGTATCAGAATTGCTATACTTGTACCATACAAGTAACAGCCTACTGGAGTTCAAGACTTTTTTTCAGCTCTTTTTATCTTTAGATTAATAAAATATGGTCAAAGTCCTGTGTTCAAAACTTACTTAACTCTTTTTTTTTTTTAATTCTTCTGGAACTTCAGGTTATTCAATGAAAGTTGGCTCATTTGTTGCTGTTCATTTGTATTCAGTTTTAGTTCTCAAAAAAAAAAAAAGAAAAAGAAAGGGAAAAAAAAGCAATAAATTTGGAGTTCCCCACTCTCCCAATCTTGATTTTATTTTTGAACACAAAAGATAAACAAGCTTCCAAAACTCAAAACTACACAAAGAAGTATGTCATGCCTGCTATTATCCCAGTTTACTCAGTTCCTAGCCACACCCTGTAGTTAGCTCACTTGTTTCTGGTTATCTCTCCTGTGTTTTTGTTCTGTGAAAAAATTAGGCTTTCCCACGATGAAGCAGAGGAATAAGGCAGTCATTGAAGTAGAACATTGAATCCAAAATATTTTTTTTTTACTGTCAGGTGGGAGAAATAACAGAATGTCTACAAAATAAGGTAAATGATTCCATAGAAACTGACAATTGAAGAGGCAAGGGAGAGGGGATAACTGCAAGGCAAATAATCTATCAACATATTTCCTGGTTTAATTTGACGAACACCAAAGGGTTCCCATATTCCAAAAAAGATTTTCATTCTGTCTGTAACCTTCCAGATTACAGTTGTATCTATGCCTTTAGAGAACACACATTAAAGCAGAGTTATTATTGTCGAAGGGTAAGTTATCACTACCTATTAATGTTAATAAAATATATTCTGCCCAAACAAGAAGGTTTTAAACTTTGAATAAGGCATTTCACCAGGAGGAGAGGTAAGAGGAGGATGGCTGGTGTGGGGATCTGTATATTAGGATAAAGAGTACCAACCATGCCAGGGAAACAAAGCACCAATCTCTAACATGTCTTGCACATTTTATGCATATGCTAATGAGTAGCTGAGGTACACTCCTCTTGCCCTGGCACTAAGTTAATGTGGCACACTCTCGTGTGAACTGCAGGGACATATCTTGCCTTGAATCCCAGTTGAGTCACTTAACAGCTATGTGGCCACTGGCAAGTTACTTAGCATCTCAGAGGCACTGTTCCTTACCTATGGAAGTGGACAGTCTCCTTTGTCAAGTTCTTGAAATATAGAGTATAGCATTGCCCCTGGCCCATGACAGATATTTAATGAATAATTCCTACAGTAAATGCAGATTAAACTAGTCAGAAAAAGAAAAAAACCAAACAAACCAAAACCTAATAACACAGTCACCAGGCTTCAATAACGTGCCTGAGAGAAATCACACCATCTCAAGCAGTATTTGGAAGGTAGAAAAATGTCCAAAAATTTCAATGTGTTAAAAATATGTGCTGACAAACTTAAGCAGCGGTGAAATAATTCTACAAGTCAACAAGGAGCAATAACTCAGAATAACTTTTTTACATAATGTCTGTGGGTGCACACAGAAGAAACTAAACGTATCACAAATCATACTAGTCAGTCTTATAATCTTACATGCATATACAAGAACGTCGACAATGTTCAATAAAATATTTTAAAAGTTATTTCAGCTTCAAATACATCTACAAACCAAAATCTAACATAAAAAATCTTTAAATGCTCTTTTAACCAAACACTGAAATATACAATAAACTTTCAGACCCTAGGATCAGTGATAAACTAAAAGCTCTACACTGAAAACTATTAAAATACGCAATGGCAGAGACTCCAAGCATAGTTTTAAATGTACATACTCCAATCACTACAAACGACTTCCCCCGTCTTATATAAGCAGTGTGCAACCCTTTCTGCTGGAAGGTCGCAATCTCAGTTTGCAACACTTAGATGGACAGACTGATAACCAACAATCAAATTTCCAAGGTCTTAAGAAAACTTCCCAGCAGGGTGCTAATCCACAGACCAGGCGGTTCAGTCCCCGGCTAAGGAGAAAGATACCTCCTCATCTTTTACAAGAAAGGGAAAGGGAAGGAGTGGAGATAAGGGAAGAGAAAGAGATATGCAAAATAACAAAGCACTGCTTCTGTAAACAAATGCAAAGTCTGGTTTTAAACTTTTGGAAATTCAATCTTCCCCTACCGTACAGCAACAAATGTCAAAGTGTAAGGCGATCATTTGTGTTCCGAAGTAGAAAACGATATAGACAGAAAGGCCAGGACTTTCTCAGGTCCCGACATTTCAAATATTCAAAATCCATTCCTTTGTCTCCCACCCCATGGGCATTATATCAGTTCAAAAACAGTAGGACAGGAGAGCACAGGACACCTTGAAGCCTCGGTGGGAACTTCGATGGGCGTCCCCAGAGCGGAGCTCCACAGCCCTCCCGGACAGTTCCGAGGAGCCGCAGTCTCCAGGCGGGCCAAGCGCGCTCCGAGTACCCGCGCGTGAGGCCTGAGGCGTGGAGCGGAACCGGGGCGCGGGGACCTGGACGCCCGTGGGCGCCTCGCCTCGTGGAGCCGGCGGAGGCGGCAGAGCGCAGCCGGGCGCCCGCCCGCCCGTCCGTCCCTCCCCGGCGACGTCTGGAGTCGGGAGGGACCCAGCCCTCCGCGCCGCCACCAGGGCCGCCCCGCGGCTCCTCACGCCCCCTGCGGGCCGCCGGGGTCCCCTCGCGGGCGGGCGTATCGACGACGAGAGCAGCCGCTCGCACGCCCCGCACCTACCTAAGGAGCTCAGGCCCGCGTCGGCCGCGCGCTGCCGGGTCCGCTAGGCGCTCACCCGGCCCTCGAACGCGGAGAAGCCGTGCGCAGCAGAGCGCACCGCGGAGCACAGACCAGCCGGCCACACCCAGCTGCAACTCAGCGGCCGCGGGGCCGGGCGGGGACGTGGCGCGAGGCGCGAGGCGCGCGCGGGAGGGGGCAGGGGCGGGGCGCCGCGGGAGCGCGCGGGGCCGGGCAGGGGGCGGGGAGGGGGCGCCGCGCGAGCTGCTTCTTCCTGTCCTTTCCTCTGGTTTCCTGCTAGAAGGAGAAGAAAACATTAATTCCGGGGCAGTTTCATTTTCTTAGCGCGGCGCCCGGACGCCCGTCTAAGTGGCGTGGTCAGTTTCCTTCCTGACCGTGCACGGGCGTCAGTTTGCTCGCGGGCGGGATGGTAGGGTTAAACTAGAAGATCCTGAGATCCTGTTTAGGTTTAACATTCAGGGATCCTAAATGTAGAAGAGTAAACTGAAGCCCACGGTCAGACAAAAGTGTCCTGCAGTCCCAACTCTGCCATCGCTGGCTGTGTAACCACGAGCTCTCTCAAGGCCTAAGTTTTGTCGCTGGCAAACGAAGGATAGTGCTATGTGCCACTCAGAAGTGCTGGAAACATTACATGAAATGATATTTGCACAGAGCCCGCCTCTAAATAAATGATCAATTCTTGGAAGTTACCGTTACTGTTGTCACTGATGAAACCAAAAGGCCTCCCAGATAACCCTGCCAAGTCGCTCTGCTCTGCTCGAGCGAGACACCACATGCATCTCAATAGACTTCTGTCACATTTCTCTGGGTGTTTTATGTTAAAAATGTCATAAAAATAAATGCATCTATCCAATTTGCTTCCTCTGAAGTCAGAACCGCTTGGGAGCATTTTTCCTCTCCCCACCCCCATCATTCTTTTGAGTTAATTCCAGTTTGACAGGCTGTTGCTATAGCATTCCTTCTCTGACGTCAAACAATTTAAAGAAACAGCCCTAGGTAACAAAAACTGCAGAGGAGTTCTTTGTGGAGTTTCTGTGCTGAGGAAAAGTTTGAACAATATCATAAGAGAACTGGAACACCCCCGCAGCCTTCCATTCCCACTATCATCTGGAATAAATCTATTCCTACCTTAAAGGAGATGACGCCAAGATAAGCACACCCTGATTGCGGCTGTGAAGAACATGTAACCATTTTGTACAAAAGCCAGATCTTGAGAAAAATGGAAACAGTCGTGGTAATAGGATGATGAAATTATGCACCATTTTCCCTTGAATTTTCCTTTTCCCTAATGTTGGGTGCTTTTTCCTCATTAAAAAGGAGAAATGCCAAATCTTCTACTTATCACAGTGCCAGGGGCCAGGGATTTAGCTCAGTGGTTCTGCCTTCTGCCTTGCAAGCTGAAAGACCCGAGTTTGATCCTTGGTACCAAAAACAAAAACAAAAACAAAAAACCAAAAACCTCACTGCTCAAAGTGTCAGAGAAGTTGGCTGGAGCCTGCAAAGTCTTCATTTGCAACTGTTTACGTGTTTTAATGATCAAGTCCCAAGCCTTATTATTGTTTTTAGGAGGAAGCAAAAGGAAATTCTTAGGTAAGAACAGTCTGTTAAGTTCAAGGATCTTTGCTTTCTTATACTGTTTTAAATCTCAAAATGATCTGTATGAATTTTATCCCCATTTTACAGATAGCAAACTGAAGCTTGGTAAAATTAAATAATTTACCTGGAGTAGCACAGGAAGTGGCAGAGATCTTACAGGACACTAGATAGGACCATCTCCAAAGCCAATTTTTTCCTTCTTTTAATTTTTTTCTGTCTTATTCTTGTGTACAGGACTTTGACAATGGTTGATTTAAGGTTCTGTGTTCAAAAAAGAAGTTGCTGGTACTGCATTTAGGAAAACTCAGGGGAAAGTGCTGAGGTACTCTATTTAAGAAAAGATTAAAGGGGATATAAACCAAGGGCTCTGGAACAATGAAAAATTTTAAAAGATCCAACAAAAATTTTATTGATATTTGATGATTTATGACTAAATGATGATTTTGGCCATTTTGAAGATTTTGATGTGGCCACAGAAATTACTAGAAGAATAAAGTCCAGGTACAAGAGGGAAAGTTTAATTATCCAAACTGATCCATTTCTTAGAATATTATATTTCAGTTTTGCTACATCTGTTGATTTTTTTTCTCTTTCCTTCCTTCCTTCCTTCCTTCTTTCTTTCTTTCTTTCTTTCTTTTCCAAAAAGAACACTTACTCATCTACTTACTTGTTAAAGACAAGCCTGTACTGCAGCTCTAAAAGTGGAGCTGATGAAAAGAATTTCAATACCAGGAACAATGTCCTAAGAGCACAACAATGCCTGTAAGTGATCCAGCAATTCGTCATTTTCCCAATGATAATGAAATCCACATATAAAGAGTCAGAGAGAGGCATATAATTAACAATGTGATGCCTGCTGATTGTGTAGACAATTACAGTGACGAATTCTGCTTCTAAGGATCAAGCCCGGTGATCTGGTTTGGTGCCACTGCCTGATATTTAGATTTCTAATTCACCAGGCCCATGTTCTCATATCTTACTCTGTTAACTGAGGCTGATGAGGTCCCTGCTAGAGAACCTTTGAAGACAAAGGTATTTCTGTCAGCAATACTTGTGTCTTTCATGGTGTTTAACATAATAGCTTACATTTATTAGGTACTCAGCGAACAAGTGAATAACACATTTGGTTATTTGTTTTACTCAAATAACTTTCATACCTAATGCCACCCCAATGTCCTTCAGAATTGAGGGGGAAGTGACCATTGTTTTGCTAGGCAGTTAGTAACAGTTACTTTTGCAGGGTGTTTGGTTCCCCTACCACCAAGTTTAGAGAAGCTCTGCTGTTGCTCCTGATTGGATAAATGTGAATCCTATTCTCAGTGAGCTACCCTGTAATCTACAGTGCCTTGGGTTTGTAACCCCTGCTTTTAAATCATACCCTAGAAATGGTCTATTTTTTTCTGATCCTATCTTGATGATACTAAGTGCACTATGAACTATCAAAGTGGATGATTTTTCAGTACTGTTCTGTGTGTGTCGTGTGCATTTCAATTCTATTGAATTCAGCACTGAAGGCAAATTATATGCATGCAACATTATGACTAAATTAACAGGTTACTTTCATCTACAACAAAAAACTAGGCTCTGTAGCCGTTTCCCAAGAACAAGAGGAGCTGTTCCTTAATAGATTCTGTCAGAAGTATGTGTCATTTCAGACAGAAATCCTTATACAGAGCACTCATGTGTGAAGCCTTCCTTCTTGCTAAGGCACATTTCATTTCTGTGTCAAACTTTTCTATAGCTTCCACTTTGGGCTTACCTTTGCTGTACTCCCCTTGCACTCCTGATACAAATCAGTTAGAGCTCTTACATCTTTCTCTTCAGGCTCTCTCTGTTATGGCAATTTGGAATCTCCCACATGCATTCCAGTGAGCTCAGGAGAGTGGTGTACTTAGCTAATGATGTTTGTCACAGGCTTGGGAGTGGGAAGTAGAACCACTCAGGTATATATTTGTCGCTCTATATCCTGTACTTCAGGTTCCTGGAATCGGTTACTGGGATGGACATGGTAAGGTGGAAGAAATACTAAATTCTGTATCAGGAAACCTGATTTAGAGCTTTGGCTATGGTACTAAGTATCTGTGTGGTTTTGAGCAGATCACAAACTGCCTGCATTCTGTTTTTCCCCATGATATAAACTGAGAGTGTTGAATTCTGGCATGACTGGCAAATAGCTCTGAGTACTATGCACAAGGCCAATGGAGGACACTAACCAGTCATGCACTTTTTCCCTGTAAGCCTTGTCCCATCCCTAGAATTCTGAGCATCACATTTTAGGGAGATACGTTGATCTTTTTGTACTGATAACTGAGTAAGAACAGCCTGTCAGTTCTCTATTGCTCTATAAAAGCCACTCCAAAATTTTGTAGATTAGAACAACAGTGAGAGAGAGAGAGAGAGAGAGAGAGAGAGAGAGAGAGAGAGAGAGAGAGAGAGAGGGAGAGAGAAAGAGAAAAGAGTTAATTTCTAGGGATCAAACACTGTGCTTGCTTTGGCAGCACATATACTGGGCATCAAACACAGGGCCTCATGCATGCTAAGTGTAGCAGCCATCATTTATTTTGCTCATGAATATCCCTGTTCAGGGGCAGCTTGGCAGACACACTCTTCTCTGTTCATGCAGCATCAGTGAGAGTGACTATATGCAAGATGGCGCTCTCTCATGGCTGGCAAGTTGGTACTGCCTATTGGCTAGAAGATCAGCCAGGTGTTTGGGCAGAGACTCAGTTCCTCTTCACACCAGTCTTCCCATGGCCTACTCTGAATTTCTCACACCACAGAGGCCGAGTTCTGAGAGCAAGAGATCCAAGAGAACAAGGAGGAAGTACAGAGCATCTTATACTTAGACTCACCTATCACACTGTCATTCCTGCCAGCCTCTCTGGGTCTGGGCTCTCCAGTCACAGAGACATAGACTTTTCTGGGTGGAGGAGAAAGTACTGGGGATCAAACCAGTTCCTTGGACATGCTCAGCAAGCCCTCTACCACTGAGCTACGTTTGCAGCAAGACACAGTCTCCTGATGGAGGAGCAGCAAGGTCCTGAAAGATCATGAAAGTTGACACATATTATTGCAGCTGCTCTCAGCAGTACAAGCAGCCAAGCACACTCACCAATTCTAAATTAATCTAAGAGAATCTAAAAGTCTAAGATTCTATCTTTCCTTTCCCTCCTCCCACATAGCATTAACTTTATTTATGCTAATATGCTGTCAGTTAACTATTTCAAACAATAGAAAATATCTTGCTTTCCTTACTAATTTGATTTTTTGAATGATTTTTAATTTGTATTTTAAAATTACACTGTAAAATTGACTTTTTTCTTTTGGTATACAGTTCTATGATTTTAAACATAAACACAGATTCATTCAAGTATCACTACGATCAGAATAAGAGTACTGTCGGGCTGGGGATTTAGCTCAGTGGTTTCGCCACCTGCCTCGCAAGTGCAAGAACCCAAGTTCGATCCCCGGTACCAAAAAAAACAAACAAACAAAAAACCAGAGTAAGAGTACTGTCAAGTCAAAAAATAACTTCTTATACTATAT